TACCAAATAAAACAACAATTTATACTGATTTCAGCTAAAGAAATCCCGGAAACCATTAGAGGAACATTATCGTTAAATTTCAATCAATTATCGTAATTAATATGCAAATAATTTATTTGTTCACCAAAACAAAGCAAACATTATTGATTTTAGCGCTCACTAAACATGGAATTTAAATAAGTGCGTTGTTATAGCAACATAAATAATTTACAATTTTATGTTAATTAATGGTTATCTAATTCGACCTGGGGAGTCGTTTATTTGGGAACAAAAGACTTCAACGAATCAATTGCCAAAATATAAGAGTTCAACGCGTATATACATTTATTAAAACTTGTTTAAATTTGAAATTGATTGTTTACGTATTCTGAGAAGTAATCTCTTAGATTTTCTTTCATAAATCGATATTTAAAAAATCATAAAAGTAGTGTAAAAATCAAAATGTGTAATAAATCATAATCTAAGTTTAAATAAATGAAAAAAATACCAATAGAATGATTGCAAATAGCAGTGCGTTTTCTAATAATTACTAATGCTGTAGACTGACTAGTTAGTATTACCTAAAGCAGGATATCATGTTCAAGAGATTTCAACAACGTCCTTCCTGTTGTATTGGGTTTGTAGGTTTTACCTATTAGAATAAACTGTCAAAACAGAACTGGCTCATTTGAGTTATGTAGGTTTGAGTCTATTGCATCCCAGAGTTCAAAAAGAAATTTTATGGCCTAGAAATAATCACAGAATTTTCGTAGAAATATAAAAAAATCATAGTAAACGATGATGTTATGATACAACACGAAAATATTATCAAATTTAACTCAGTTGTCGTAGTTTCCAAGACTTCGGTCGTCAAGAGTTGTCGTGATTCGAGTCGTACGTTCGAGTTTCGCACAGTATATGCTGATGTGTAACCCTATTACATTTTCTGGGTTTAGTTCATGTGGAACTTGTGTATAATAAGTTAGGTCCTAATGGTTAGCGCAATGTTTAAGAAAAACAGCGAGAAAATGCTATAGACGTTTATAAAAAAGCTTTCAACAAAACAGCTCGATCCTACTATGACCTTTACAAATCTCATATGGCGATTACATTATTGTTTTTGTCTATAAACCAAGGACGTACTCTTTACACAGTCATACTATTTATTAACTCGAGTCCACTTGACGCCATTAACACATTTATACAGATTACACACGTATTTGCTCTGGTTATAACTACGTTAATGTCTGCTCCGCTAAAATATTACTATATTTTACTCCTAATATAACTAAGAATATAAAAATCATGCAGTGAACACTCGCCAAATCGATCAGCGTGTCTTTTACATGTGTGGTGGTAAATTGCTTTTCTACATAAAATCAAAAAGAAATGTTTGGGAAACTTTTTTTTTCATCATATCATCAGATGGAACAATACATACATACAACATACAATATGTATTAATCTCTAAACAGCTGCTATGATTATCCATGAAGTGCAGTTTAGCTATATATTAGCTACCACTATTTGTATTAAACTACTCATAATAAACAATTACTTGTATAAATTTAATTTAAATCACTGCAACAAGAGCCAAAAGCTTGGGCTCATAAACATTACGAGATAATTCTATCACCATTCACAAGAATTTATCAACTCCGTATCAACTATTTTCTCCCATGCAATAACCAACAATTTTTTCACCTTCGCTTACGTAACTACGATGAGTTCATGAATAATTGTTGAGTTACAAAGCAAAGCGGGTTTTCCATTTATAAAACATATGCATACATATAAACCCATCAGGTACTTACTGTAAATCTAAAAATATACATTACCTAATGAATCGAGGTACCCACGACCAACGTTTTTAATTCCTTGACCTTGAGAACTACTTAAATCTTGCAGTTGATGTTATCAATGGAATATAGAATAAATATAATGAAACCTTATTAGATTTAGTATTTAAATCTTATTTTGAAACCACAATGCAAAGGATTACAGGCCCGTGTAAAATGTTTAGGTTCTTGATAAGCTTATGAAACATGAATTACATACTTCTATCTTCTACTCATAAGTAGAACAGTTTATATAAATATATTAAAACACAGTAAATTTAAAATCTGTCAATCACCCAATCGGCCATATTTATCATGCAATGTCCGATATTTAAAAATAATCACCGTTCGGGCCTTGTTACCTGCGCTCACTTTCACGATTTCAACAGAATTTTAAAATTTATGGTACAATATCACGATATTCAGGTACACGAATCACACAAAGTATCACAGTAGCCCAAAAGTACTCTATCGCAATCCGAAATCATTATTATTGAGATAACCTAATCTGCAAGAATGAATAGGTTTTTACTGAGCTAGCGCGATTACCATCAAGGGCTGCATCGCCACTTACCATCAGGTGGGATGTCAGACAAGTGCTGGCCAGTTGCAAATAAAAAAATTAAAAAAAAAGTAACTTTATACAATAACATTCAGTTTCTAATTCATATAGGTAATCTTACTAATTATTTTGTCAATGTATGAATTTACGTGTGGTTTCCTACTTCCGTGTTTTAACAATAGTTCTTAAACTTGACTTCACTCGTCCTACGTAAGCTACATACCACTTTTAAAAGTTGTTATTAATTTCTGATGTTCTTAATGCTACCACATCCAGGGCCGTATGAGTGCATTAAGAGCTTGGAGTGCACTGCTTAAAAACTTTCAGCGGTTATTACTGTATGCAGTGGGCATATGTACGATTTCAAACAGAAAACGCAGTTAAGTTCGTTGCAGGGCTGCTGACGAAACGGAGATTGGACATTCGTCATGCACGTGGTACTATTCGTGTATAATTTCCCGTCGTCAAGCGGTCGCCGACGTGGCGCACCCCGCTGTTCAACTTATTAGGCACGTCCCCAGCCGTCTTGGTATTTCCATAATCAATTCCTTATTAACAGTCACTACACAGTGCAGTTGAACCACGACTACTACAGTAGAAATACCCTCACAGGAGCTTAAACCCGGTATACATTTCAATAATGAAATAAGTGTAGTAACTGGTTTTACCTCCAGCCGTATCGAATGCTTGTTTCAATACATGCTCTCGAGACGTCCAATATATCATTCAAAGACGTCAAATTATTTAAAGTTCTCATGCCTTTAAATTATTATCATTTAATGTATTTGAGTCTCAGTCACAAAAGGTGACTGAGATTCATTTGTTAGTTGACAAACAATAAATTTGCAATCGAGGTATTGTTGAAACAAATTAATCCGACCCTAGCTGACTTCAAGGAATAAAACATCCTGTATGTTTAAATCTTTTCGATATTCATAGTGCAAACAAAAAACACCGCTAAAAGGTTAAACGGAGGTCGAACATCTCAATCATCAACAGTCGCGTTATCTTATTTTGAACATCAATTTATTTATCATTACACTATTCCGGTGAAACCGGATACTCTATAACAAAACCTTTTTAAACAAACAACTTTAAAAAAAGATGCAGTCCTGAATAACCAACGCCAAATTTATCTTCATTCGTTGCATTCGAATAAAGCTATTTGCTTAATCCTTTGAAATGCATATGATTACAATAAAGAAGAGAATAATATTCTGGTATGCGTTTTTGTATGTAGAGTACAGTAACTTGAATAAATAAGTATGTATGTAAAGTCACAGGTTTCTACAGAGCTTGTCACTTTAAATTTATCATACATCAACATATATTATCAGTTAATTGTTGTTAAGTTATTCATCTTCAGATTGTAGAATAAAACGTTTGAAGATCTATAATATTTATTGACTTTAATTTTGAAATCAATAAACACCTTCCTTACTTGTTTTGTGTATTATAATCACAGTTATTTCTTCCACATCGAGGACTATCTATGAGCGTGACCAACGGCCGGTTTCAATATTCTATCTACAGATAGATTTAGTCACTGGAGATAGAATTTTGACGTCAGTATTATGGAGCCAATGTGATAGCCAAATCTATCTGTAGAGAGAATACTGAAACCGACCGTAAACTGTCATCGAAAGGTGGAAAGGCGAGTCGAATTAAAAGCTGCCACATTAGCCTTAGGGACTGGCCAGCGAACCTCTGTAACGTTGGCAGCATTTCTAACTGGTTTGACTGCGTGTGACGACAAGCCCCTTAATCGACGTAACCGCAAATCGAGAGCGGACTCGATCAAAACCGATGACCAAAAGCCTGCGGTAATTTCTATCTTGATGAACGACCGACGCTAAAATTTCATTAACGGGAAAAACAATCGAGAGATTTCTCTATATTTAACGATTTGTACATGGGTTTGAGAATGACGCAATTGTTATTTCTACAAGACGTTCAATGTTATTTATAGAAATTACTATAGCATTAAAAATGATAATAGATCAAATCAAAAATCATACAAATAAGCTACACGATCATGTCTCGTAAATGTTATCAATACAAAATTCGCTTTCTATGACGAGCAGCGCACGAGTATTAAAATGCTGTTAAATTATACCGAAAATAATGGTCGGTATATACGAAAAAGCATTGTCGTCTTTTATTGGTAATCGATTGCCAACGATGACACTGAGAACAATTAATTTGTCATTACTGGCAGCCGACCATGACGCCAAAAGACCTTTATTGTAAGCCCGTCTGATAATTGCAAAATCTTATTTTGTTTGCGAAAGAGTCACTACAGGGTTGACATCGTAACATATGAGTATGTATGTAATAATGCTAATTACGGGTAAGGTAAAATACTAATGTCGTTGGTTGATTATTTGTCGTCTAATGAGTATTGTCATTAATTTTTATTTATCATTTGTGCATTAGAATGCTAAAGCTTGAATGGCATACGCATTTACAATGCGTATGTTTACAACAATAAATGCATTTTTAAGCTAGTGTATAATTTTTCAAATAATAACGAAACATATCATTAAAGATATATAACTTAAACATAACGTAAACTCAATGACAGTAATTAACCAAAAGGATATGAACAATAAGAATCTCACCTCAGGTGGAGCAGCGAACTTCAAATTGGCGAGAGATCCATGCGATCGACTCCTGTGTTCCTGTCTTATGCTGTATGAGAAAGCTCGCTCGTTCAAATGCCCCTTCTTCCTGTAGATCCCGCCGGCGTCCTCCACGGCTTCCAAGCCGGTCATGCTTTGCGCCGCTTTCATAGCCGTCGGCGGTGGCTTCGAACGGCGCGGGTCGACCGTGGCGTATTGCAGGCGACCTCTGCCCGGAGGCGGTACAGCGGGAAAGGACCCGGAGCCAAGGCGGCCGGGACGCGCCCCCTATGGCCCAACGTCGCCGGCCTGGCGTGGGGTAAGGTGGCCGCGGGATGCGCCACCAACACCATGGGGTGAGCGGCCGCCCACGCCGGCGGGGCCCGTCCCAAGGACCGCCCATTCATCATCGGAGCGGGCCCAGGCATTGTGGCGTACAGCTCATCGGCGGACGCAGATGATTTCTTTTTGCTCTTCTTCGTGGTAGACTTCTTCTTGGGCTCCTCAGGCGGCGGCGGCGGGGGCGGCACGGAGGCGGGTCGCGTTATCTGTCTGGGCCGCGGCGCCCTTGTCGGGTGCGGGATGTCGTCGCTCGCGTCATCGCGCTCCACTTCCCCGACCCAAACCTTGTGGTTTTCATCCCCGTCGTAGACCTCGAGCTCCTCCTCCGGCTCGGGGGGCAGCTGCGAGGGCGACCTCTCGGCCTCCAAGCGTTTCGCGTACGAGCTGTCCGCGTAAGCGTGGAAGCAGCACCGCACTAGCGCGTTCGCGGCCGCCTCGCGGCGACAAATAAAAGCGTGGCACTCCAGTACCTTTATGCCCTGAGTGCGGCGCAGGACTGCCGCGAACAAAGGCGGCCGCCGAGGAGCGGGGGCCCTGGCGAATGGCGAGTCTAGGGGTAAGAATCTCGGCGCACCCTCGACACTCACGCGGCGAACGGCCGCGCAGTAATGCAAACTCGATATGGGGAAGAATCTCGCCACCCGCGAGCCACTCTCGTCGACATTCTCCAGCAGGATCCCGTTGGACCAGACGGACAGCCACGAATCAATTCCGCCACTGGTCGCTCCCTTTTCCGGATAAAGCTCGCGCAAGGGCTCTTGGATTCCTTGCAGGCCGTCCTTGCTCTGTTGCGGGACCGCCGAGCCGAGGTATAGCACGCGGCACCGACAAATCGGCGTCGACTCCATTTCAACACTACACTATCACATGACACTAAATCACTTGAAGACACTGCAATTGATAATTGATTGTTTTCGCTCGGTGTCTGTGTACGTGCGCTAGCCGCGAGACGGGCGCGGGTCTGAGTGAACGGAATTCAAGATGGCCGGGCGATTTGTGGGATGGGGAGGGGAGCGCGGGAGGCAGACCCGTACCTGCGCTTACGCACCTGTGAAGACGCTCCACACAGCCCATACGGGCAGCCGTGTAATGGCGATGAACCGCCATTGTGTCAAACGATTCGTCGCGAATTCAGCCGCATTTCTCTTCCACGACGCGTCATCAAACAAGCCGACGTGAAGGAATGTTGCGCTTTTATATTCAAGCAGTGAAAACCGAAGGTCGATGGGTCGACAGATAATTGTACCGTGCAGGTCCATTATGCCCTAGTCACTCTTTCTTTAAATCAATTTTCTGTTCAAATCTCGCTTTTTCAGTGGCGATTATATTATTTAAAATATATTTAATACGCATTGCATAAGTTGCACGGCCCGTAGAACTTAAGTAGCAATTTAAAACAGGTTAATTTTACATGAACAAATAGTCTGGAATGCGAAATAAATACGTTACATGATGCCAATTGCTGCGCAGAACTCATTAAGCGGCATGTTTCCACATAAATGCCTACGTTTGGTGATAATTAGATCTATTGCTTAACAGAAAATTGGCAAGTCTTAATCGTTAGTACACATCAGTTAGAGTAACAAATTCCTGCATATATTTATGCCTGCAATCTGCTTATCGCAAAAATTATAATAAACGTTTATAAAAATTACTACACAGATATTTAATTTGCGGATATTTAACAGCATTTAGCTGTAATGTGTAATTGGTTTTAATATACTTAATTAATTATTTTATTTTAATTACTTTTATAACAAAGTCATTCATGGATACTAAGTATATGATACCACGGATTCTTACCAGGCTGTTACAGAACCATAGATTGACTGACATTAAAATAAGTAAAGTATGTAAAGTAGAATAACATCCTATATAATTATATCCCACTGCTGAGCAAAGGCCTCCTCTGTACAAAGGGTATTGAGGTAACTTCACATATGTTCAAATTATATTTTTTTGTTATTATTTCGAATATATGCAGGTTTCGTCACGATTCTTTTCGCCGCTGAGCACGTATGAGTCAGCACTTAAAATTAACAATTCATCATTGGTGTGGCACAGGGAATCGAACTCAGGTTGCTCGAGTATATTGAATTAACGCTCCCCGCCCGGCGCACAATGAGCTATAACAATCTGAAAATCCTTATAATGGATTTATACTCAATAAATAATGAAAATCTTTATTTTCCTAATGGAACAAATATTATAACTTTTATAAACTTTTTATAATATATGATATCTTGATCCTGATCTTATAAAAAATAGTATGTAACCTGAAAAAAATTGTTTTTAAAAGAGCTTTATTATTTTTCTAAATGTATCTAATGTCAAAAGATTTCAAAATAATCTGTTAATCCGCAATAGTCCGCAGTTAATCTGTTAATACAGTCAATGAACTATACAATGAGTATTTAAAGATATTATTATGTCGTAAAACAAAAATGTCAATTATTTTGTCTGCGTCTGAAATCTCTACCCATGCCATTGTTGCAAGGACAACGGCGGGGAATCAAAAATTAATGGCATTAAAGGGATAAATATTTTTATCTCAGAATTATAAAGGATTAAAAAAAATCCGTCTCGATGGTAAGGTGTAGAAAAAGACCAAGGGGACCAATCATCTAAGATCAGACGAGATTAATACCACACCGACACAGCAAACACCACGGAATAGAAAAAAATATTCAGTTTTGTATACCACTGAGAAATACTGTGTAGGTAATGGGTTCTATTACGCAATATAACAATTTAGTTAGTAGAAACATCAACAGACCAAAAAATTTGCATCTAAATTTTGAATTCACTCATAATCATTTACAAATATATAAAAAAAACAATCAATAAAAATTATTAACTTAAATGTTGCTCTGAAAGTTTGAAACATGCATGTCGTAAATTTCTTTTTGTAATGTAGTGGAATAGGGTTGGATGAAACTTATTGTTAAACCTAGTGTGAATTACTTCAGAAATATTGCGGCAGCTGAAGTTTTTAGTAAAATCTAAAATGGAATAAGCCAACGATTACTAATACACGATTGGAGTATAAGACGGGTATTCTACTCGTCATATTTTTCACACTTCAACACAGGCAACAACACACACGTTTTGACCTCTCTCGGTTTTCTACCACTTTTGACTTCTCTTTTACTTCTTTCTTCTTTAAGTTCCAATTCCACTGAACATACCCCTTTAATACAGCTGAACTTAGAACTCTTCAAGTAGGATGTTTTAGAATGAGGACGTTGAAGGGCCAAATATATACAAAGTTCTGGATCCTTCTTTTATTATAGATGAACAATTTAAGACTTAAACTCAGTACGTCTTACAAAACTGTCAAGGCAAACAAGACGTCAACCGAGATAATCCACATCTAAAAAAAGGGTGCAACTGGTGCGATGTGATATAAAACAAAGAACAATTTCGTTAATTATAAAACTCACGGCATCTCAAACTTACCGAGAGAGCTGAAAATCCATTCGCATTTTGCAGTGAACCTAACGCTAAAACGCCAACCAAATCCACTCAAATGACATTTGAAAAGTCATTTGACAGTTGATTAGTTAATTTCTACGATGATTAGTCTTTCAGAAACCGGGCGTAAGTCAATGATATTATATACAAATATATTAGTGACTCTAGTGACATAATAACTATGTTTACACAATACAGTCAACAATCTATCATACAAATGACGCATGTATAACAGGGCTAATCTCATATTGTCTTAACTGTACAAACAGCTTTGATACGGGTTCTACGTCTGATGAACTGTTGTCTTTATCATCATCATCATAATCTCAACCATATACATAGGCCTCCCCCACAGATTACGTAGCACATTCCTAAGCCACCTACATCCATTGAGTTTACGCACGTTTGCCCAGGTCGTCACTCCGTCTGTATCCGTCTATACTGCGATGGACAATATTTTAAATAATATATCTTTACATTACGATAACATTTGACTGGGTTTCGTACAATCCTGGCGTAGACGAAAGATCCAATATAACTAAATTAATCGTATACATTTAGTTTGTATGAACACAACGGGGAGGTGAAAAAAGAAAAAATTCACATCGTAATTCGTTTATTAAACAACAATCGGGAACCACTCGCTTTACAGAGCTATAATTTCGGCTTCGATTTCAGTTGTAAATGCTTGTTTCCGGTTTCACCCAAAAATAGGTCCACAACTAGACTCATACCAAACTGACGTTCAATTCATGTCTAGCACAATCTTGTACGTTAAGAACAATTTTAAAAGCAAATTTTATGTATATAGTCTATATACATCAAATTGTTTTTTTTTTCAAGACTTAGTATTTCATTCAATCTATCTAACAATTTATTTTATTTAAATTTTTTGAACATCACACACAATCCACGGAGTGTTTGGAACATCGTACGCCACGATAAAACTATGGAAACACCCCCTCGGCACATTAAATCGGCCAAACGGACTAAGGCATCGCTAAGCCAAGAAAAACACTACATTTAAAGTTACAACGGAAACGTAATTAATTTTTTCCATTATTGTGTATCTAAGGTTCAGCATCCGGTAATTTTAGCCGAATCGTACATATCTTTGGACCACATCTCAATAACAAGTCCAATAGAAAGTAAGGCTATTTAATATAACACCTTTAATGAATAACTTACAGCCTAACTAATATATATCTACTTATATTTATTATAATTGCTTGTAATAAGGTCGGGATGCCATTTGTCATTGTTATAAACTGTCCATCATTTGAGGTCAGTACTTCGGTGTCTTGACATTGGGTTCGTCTGCCGACAGCGGCGCTTTTCTCTTCTGTATTATGTTCTGGATCTGTAAGAAGGTTTACTTTATTTATTTACCATTTATGTACACACAAACGCAAACGCAAACTAAAAAGCGACAAAAACTAATCCACAAAGACTTTGCTTATATCTCCCTGACTGTCGCCGTTTCCGAAACACTAATCATCATAGAAGTTAAATATTCAGCTGTGGCTTAAATGGCTTTTCAAATGTCCAAATTTCTTTTCAAATATTTCAGGAACCGTGCGTGTGACTCCGTGCCGCAGTTGCCAAGGTATGGTCCCACATTTGGAGACACCCACAAGGATTTGTGCCACACAGGACAACTATATGTATGACCCACAGATAGTTGTTTCGCATCTGGGTGTTTGTCCGCGTGAATTTTTTTTTTTTTGTAAAACGTCCTTACAATACAGGATAATGTCATATAAGTTATTATGTCTAAAGTAACGGCAATGTTTTTAAAAAAAAATAATTTAAAATTACTTCCAACATTATTACATAGGACAATGCACAAATTTGAAAGTGTTGTTAAAATTGTCATTTGATGAACCGAAAGTTGGACTATCATTGGAATGAACAAAAAGATATTTAGAAAATATTACTTTACCATTTACTCAATATTTTTCCAAGAAAATTAAAGTGAAGGGACAGAAAGCACAAAAACAAACATATCAAACATATCATCCAATTGGTATTAAATCATCACTTCTCACTCATTCCTTCCTAGTATATTTATTAATTACTTATTCCAACTAATTTACTTTACTAACTTTTTTACTAAGGTATTTTATGCTGGTTTATACAGCGTGCCGTTACAACCGCGACACTAAATGAACACATGTCAAACGCCACTTGCCAATAATCATAAAAGAATATAAACGTTAAAAAAGTCCATAAACAAAAAAAATATTTTTCAAACAAACTAATTAAATGAGAAAGAAACAAAATTTTTAACACCTATACAACTACAACTGACTGATTCATGCATTCAGAGACTTTTTCATTCGTTTCCACAGCGTCGTTTTACAAATCTCTCGTTCTAACAGTATGTTTTATCTCTTAAATTCATTCAACCATTTCATATGCATTGTGACCTTTACAAATGAACTTTACGTTACAGTTTTATGCGTAAGGATGTTCTAAAATTGTTTGTTTTGGAAAATTTTATAACTCTGTAAATATTGATGTTTATAGAACGTAAATGTTTAATACAATTTTAATCGCGTTAGTTTATGGTCGCGTTAGTAGCGCCAAGTTGTATAAAACATTTATTTAGCTCAAACTTAAAAAGCTTAAAACCTTCATGATGTACCTGAAAGTTTGTGAATGAATATCATATTACCATTATTATCATACGATTTCCAAAAAGAATAAGTACTATGGGTAGTGCTTTATTAGACACATCTGAAGGTTGCGTATCGACAGCAAATTATGTCAGGTACTAAATTTTTCTATCATAATATTAAATGAGATTTGTAACTAAGAACGGACTTCCAGCGGTGGTATTCAGTTGAAATAGGGTTTTCGCATCAATCAGGTATCTGGTAAAATAAACACCAACCTGTTGCCACTCTCTATCGAGCTCGGCTTTCTCGCTTTTGTCCTTTGTCTTCCTCGTCTTGCGGCCATCTTGCGTCTTGACGCCATATTGGAAGGCGGCTTTGGGCAGCGCTTCTTTGCTGCTCATGTAAGCGGAATATTCTTCCTGTGTGTCGAAATCCCATCGACCTGGGAAACGAATATTAAATTCATTTATTTATTTGCTCATAGTATCACAAATGATAAAACTTATTTGAAATATTAACCAACAAGCATATTTATTTAATGGCATTGTTGAGAAGAAGACAAGACCGGTTTTACACGGACGTCTTGATACAACTAAATTAATGGACAAAGTTAAACGACGTTGATATTGTTATTAATAAAAGTATTGTCCTAAACCTGTAAATATTCACTAATGCTTAGGTAACGTTTTATCATTTAGGGCATGGATGACTCGGGTTATATTGTGCGAAACCCAATGCTGAGCACCGGTGTTTTTCAAAACACAGTCATATCGAACATTTTGTCTACCTCAATTTAGCAATATAAAATTTAGCCATCCACTAGTTGTCACTAGACAACCAAACAAGCAGATCTCTTTTTATTAACAAATATCTCAGTCACTATGCGTGAAATGAGTTATCCTGATGTAATTTTGGAGTTCACGGTCCAATACCAATGAAATTAATATCGGACCTCATAAGAGTTATATCTATTACCTTCCGGTGTTAATTCAATCTCATCCAACCACCTTTTCGAGAGCATTCTGAAGTACTAAACTTAAAAAACACAACCGAATTCCTTTTTCGAGGTCGTTTGAAAAATACCCACCGATAAGACAGATTTAGGACTACTACTTACTATTCTTATGTTCATATCACAATAAAATATATTGATACTTAAAACCGTATAATCGACATTGAAGATCAATACATTTAAATTAGTATAATGATAACACTGTGTCGGCGGAAAGGCACGAGACGTGGCTGTTTGGGATTAGGATTAAAAAAAAAGATTTTGCTTTTACTTGCGTACTAAGACTAGTTTTAAAAAAAATCTTTTCTGTATTGAAGACGTATCCCCTCAAAATGTACCCACCGATGGGGCCCTTCTTGTTGCCGGCGTCCATCTTCGTGTAGTCCACCTCGTCGTCGGAGTCGTCGATGGCGTCGTCCATCTCGCGGAGCCCCGGGTAGCACTCGGCGTAGCCCTCGGGCTCCGCCGCCAGCCGCGAGAGCAGCGCCGCCGAGCGGGACTCCCGCTCCGGCCCGCCTGGCGCCTTCGCCCGCGGCACGTTCGGACCTTGGGGATATGACGCGACAGGGTCAATAGGACGATCGTCGTCGCATCAAGGCCCGCAGAAACGCTAGCTCGTTTGAAGTAGAAACGACAGCTTTTCAAAAAAAGAAGCGGGGCCGAACGGCCGTGTCGCGTAAAAATCACAGCGCCAGAGCGAAACTCAAAATAATCAGCAAAAGTAAACTGCCTACATATCTCCCACTACTGAACAAAGGCCTCCTTTGTACAGAGGGTATGTTCTATATAGGGTATATTCTATTATTACAGAGATAGTCGCCAAGCCATAATAATATTTCTTTAATTGTTTGAAAATATGCAGGTTACGTGATATAGGTGATAAGTAAAACTTAAAATTTACAATTTCATTGGTGCCGGGATCGAACTCGGGTTACTCGCTTTAAATCGCAATTAATCGCTTTTAATTAAATATACTCGAGAAACCTGAGTTGGCACCCGGAAAATGAGCTATCACGACTCAAGAGAATAACACAATTCTATAATTAAAATAACTAAACACCGAATTGCAGTAAAAAGATACGTTTTACCGGCAAAATGTTTCTCCCCACCTTCCTCCTTGTCCGCCTCCGCGGGCTTGTCGAAGTAGCCGGTGCGCGGCCTCTCGTCGCGGCGCTCCGGCCGCCTCTCGCCGGCAACGTACTCGCCGATCTCGCCGTATATCGAGTCGTCGTTGCGCCCCTTCTCCGTCGCCTTGTCCTGCATTCGATTTTCGAATTTATACTCACTTTGGAGCGCTCGAGAAGAATGATGAGAATTGTGAGATTTTACGACGCGCGACACCAACTTCACGGTTACCAAGGCAACCGATATAATTAGCCCTTCGACATTTACCGATAATTTCAAGTTGTTTAGTTTAACCGTTATCAATTGCGTTTGATGTCTTTTTTTCACAAATAAAGAGTACACTGGCACACGGGATAAAATTATGTTATTTTAAAGTTAGAGTTGCGTGGCCCCTACCTACCTACCTACCATTTACGAAAACCGAGTTGCGTGACTGCAAGTGTTGGTACGCTCGACCAATTTCGAAAGAGTCTGTCCGAGTTTCAAATCGCAACGATTATAATCCAACATGTGACTATATATCTACATATAATACGAATTTATTTACAAAAGAAAAATACGTTAAAGTACGTTCATCAGTACCCATAGTACAAGCTCTGCTAAGTTCGGGACTAGATGGCGTTGTGTTAAAATGTCACAAGAGAAAAATGAGCCGAGAACCTTGGCCTTCCTCAGCTTCCTGTGCCGGCCGTGGCGCAGATAGGAGAATATCTGCGCGAGCTTGTCGAGCACCACGTCGTTGGCGGCCGCCGCCGAGCTCCTCTCGTCGAGCTCGGGCACGTCGGCCTTGCTGCGCGTGAGCGTGGTCGGTATGTCGCTGTCCATCGCGCCCTCGTCCTCGAGCTCGACCACGTACGCCATCCGGCCGGGCGCGAACAGCTCGTTGCGCGTCACCCTCTTGTTCCTGCGGAAGGGGTACATTTGCGGACGTTTCGGTGACGGGGTACTGCTATACGGTTCTGTTGGTAGACGAGCTGGCGGTTCACCTGATGTTAAGTGATAACCGCCGCCCGTGGACATTTACAACACCCGTAGACAGTCAGAGAAACTTGCTTGATTGAGTGCGAACGGGACAATTCAGAGACGGTAAGACGTAAGCTATAAAAGGTGAATATTCTCAACAGAGGGGTCCTTTGTCACGGGTTGTGGCGAATGATAAGGGCCCCTCTTTTCAATTTTTTTTGTGATAAAGTGATAAACGAGCTGGCGGTTCACCTGATGTTAAGGGATAACCGCCGCCAGTGGACATTTGCAACACCCGTAGGATTGCAAATGCACTGACACCTTTAAATAAAGTGGGCACCGGCTACCTCACTCACCAGACCAAACGCACAAGTGTAACACTTCTACTTTACGCCCGTCTTCTGTGAGATCGTGGTACTTACCCGGACGGACCTGCCCATTCGTGCAACAGTATTCCGTGGCCCTACCACAGTTAAAGGTTTTCGGATTTTGGATTTTAAAAAAAAGTTTATTTCACAAAATACATATTTCCCTAAAAACTAAAAACCCTTTTAATATACAATGTTAATCGCTAGTAGCCAAATCCATCTACAGATGCAACATTGAAACCGCCCTTAAGTGATTGACGATAACGAGACAGGTCACATGGCGTATGGTATGCTTTTTCAATAATATTCAGCATGCCTAAACTTATTTAGTTATGCTGAGTACTTTTTTTGTGATTATTGAATAAGACTGAGCGCAAACTGTAACGTATTAGTAGCATTGATTATCGACTTAAAACACGGTTGGAGACAATACGTTTGCTTTATATTTAAGCTTTTTAATCCTGTCGTGTAGTAATAAGCATTTTTTTTTGTAAGACATGTTTATAAGACATGTATTGTTATAAGACATGTTTTTTGTCTTTTAGTAGTAATAGTAACAGCTTTTTTACTTTGTGTTATTGTTTTAATTGTATTTTAAAAGCAAATATCAGTCGAGGATCATTAATTAAACATTTGTTAGGTTGGTTATAGAGATAACGGGCTCGATTACAGCAGGTGACAGTTGAGGTTGCAAAGAAGAAAAACTCACGAAGTATCAAGTCAACAGCAAATAAGCCTGTATCCAAATGTGTTAACATAGAATTGTTAAAGCTGTTTAGAATATCACAAGAAATTATAGAAGCAAGACCTCCGCGATCCACTTGAAATGACCAACGATCCAATTAATATAAATTGGCCACACGAAAATCATAAACAGTCATATAATTAAAGACAACAAATGATTATTTAAAAAGAAATGTGTTGTTACTTACTTTTGCTCCATTATCATGTTGTGTATATTTTTGCCCATCGGTGTTTTAAATTGGATTTCTTCCTCCTGAAATGAAAGATCAGTCTTATTACAGCGACGGTTATAACATTAAACCAATTATCAAATTCAATTATATTTTCTATTATATTATTTCTAGACATACAGATTTCTTGTGTCTGCTTTCAGTCAAAAGAACTACGTAATGTTCCTAGGGTCTGTTCCATAGTTCTCCTGATCATATTTGGATATCTCATCTTATTTATTTACATTATGAAATAAATCAAGCAGGTTTATTGTCATATGGTCTTATCTACCTACCAACCGAAAAGTAAGTGTTATAGGCAAATGTATATATATATATATGTAAATTTATTTTAAAATGGAATGAACCTAAACATCTGATCTAATAGCTATGAAGTTGACGATTTTTATTAATGGTCAGTTTGAAAATGGATATATTTACTTTAAATTACTAAGACATGATCAAAAGATCAGTTTCATGCTATTTTTAAACCTGAAGTACAAAGAGATCAGCACAATAAAATAAAATATTAACGATATATTTTTACACAGCGTTATCCTTCCCCTAAGTAAAGCTATGGATGCTAAGTAACTGAATATATATTATAGACAATAAACACCCACGCACTAGAAAAACATTACATTCTTGACACAATATATTTTCAGTAGTAGGGATCCAACTCACACCCACTATTTAGTTTCTTTTTTTAAATGTTGCCCTTACTTTAGGGTAACACTATCCTGTGTTGCAAGGACGATTTACATACATAAATTTCACGTGGACAAACACCCAGATGCGAAACAACTATTTGTGGGTCACACAAATAGTTATCCCGTGTGGGAATCGAACCCACGACCCCCGACGCCGAAACCAATACCTTGGCGACTGCGCCACGGAGTCATCAAACTATCCAATCGGCTCGTCAAATTTTACATAGGGCGGCATAGTTAGACCTTAACCACCGAGGTGGTATGGCAAAACTGTAAATATTTTTACTTAAGATTGGTGTTCTGTGATTCTGTAATATTGTACTAGATTTTGTAATGTTCTCAATAATTGACATTTAAATTATAATTTTTTTAGATAAATGAACAAAAAGTTTTGGCGCTGCGGGATTCAAAAATGCGTCTTATGGTTTAGTGCCCACATCTACATTTATTTAATTTATAGTTAGAACAGAAAGACGAACCAGCGTATATGCTGTGAATTTAAAAATTGAAATCAGCATTAAATTTGCTATAAATAATAAGTACATTAAAGCCCGAAAGGATTAAAGGTGTAAGCATGTCACCCGCCAGAAAGAAAACTGAAATCCTTACACAAAAAGAACATCGTGTTTATAAAATAACTAGCGACCCGCCCCGACTTCGCACGGGCACCAGGAATTATACAAAAAAAGCCCCTTGATCTAATTGCTATCAAACTTTACAGGAATGCTTAAAAATTTCATTAAATCGCTCTTGCCCTTATGGAGTCCATATGGAACATAAATACACACATCAATCTTTATACAAACAAATATTGATCTGAGAGCAAATTTATTTACTTCGTATTTTTGGGTACCACCTGCCATCTACTCTTCACCACAAAAAGAGTTGACAGGTAGAGAATGCCATTAGGCATTAAATCCGGCCATTGCAATTCTTAGCTTAAGATGTAAGAAGAAACTTTAAATAAATAATATATTTTTAACTTACTACAGGTATCTCCTTTTTCTCCTTAACTGCCTCAATCACTGGTGCCGTAACCAACCTTTCCATTTCAGCCTCTTGTTCTTGCTCACGATTCACAATTTCAGAACGCACCTGCAATATGTAATAGTATATATTTTTTTTATTTCAAATTGAATCTTATAACAGGACTTATCAATAAACTGTTAATTCAAAACAGCAGCCCAAGAAAGAAGCCATTTCTAACTTGATTCTTTCAGACATTGTTGAGGTACAAAATCGATAATACATAAATTGGCCCTATAAATCTTTTATAAATAATTAGTCGGTGGGTTTATTTCAAATTGCTTTCATCCCCTACAATGGAGTCCCAAAATATTTGCCTAATAAATTGAGTTATTCAAATCGCTAGGACCAAATTTGAATGGTACTACTTGATATTAAAATATATATAGATATTCTATCACAACTGTGGTAGGGACTATGGGCAGAAACATCCGGGTAAGTAGCACAACCTCACAGAAGACTGGTGTGAAGTGGAAGTGTTATACTTTTGTCTTGTCTGATGATTAGGTTAGAGGTCGATTTTAGAGCCAGGGTCGATTTTATTAATCAGTGGCAATGCATCTGAAACCTTTTGGATGTTGCATTTGTCAATGGGCGGCAGTTAACACTTAACATCAGGTGAACCGCCAGCTTATTTACCACCTTATCACATTAAAAAAAAAAACAATCATATTGTGTCTTACCTTTTGCAGTAAAGCATAATCGAGACCTTTCACTAAGTGAGTGTGTTCCATGTCACCTCCAAGATATTTGGATTCCTGAAACAAAATTTAGGTATGAAGTTTCCCTTATGTTGGCCACTTAAACTCGCTCAGTTGAGTTGAGGGTATTGCAACATTAGGACATCGGCCACTTTGGCTCAATTGGTTAAAGATAAAGAGCTCATGACTCGAAAGATGAATGTTCGAATCACGCAGCGGTGATTAATATATTTTTTGTCAATTTTTCTACTTAAAAAGATATATATTTAAGTAACTATCAAAGGTAACAGTCTGGTTTGAAAGGTATATTTTAACAAAAAATTTCCTGATTCCCATATTATTTCTAACAATTAAATAGTTCAATTGGTACACTTAAGTTACAAACCTGAATCATTTGTCTCCTTCTTTCTTTGGCATCCATTCCTGACTTCAAATCTGGTGCCACAGCTCTGGAAAAGTTTCATAGATATGTTAAAATTTTTGCAAATATCCCAGTTTTGAGTAAGTTTATGTAAAACATCCTTACAACACAGGATAGGTATAAGTATAATTTCATGATGTTTTGTTCCGCTCACCTATATGCACTACTTGTATTGCTGGTTGGATCTGTTGGTCCAATATCATTAAGGCCGTCCCGCCTTTCACGGGCTCTATCTCGGTACTTTTCAGCTAGCTCAGCAAGTTTATTGTCTTCTTGTTTCTTAAGTGCAGCATAGTAAGATTTCTTTTTACGTCGCAATTCACTCTTATTTTCAGCTGGTGGCTGCATTGACCTTCAAAGATATTTATAATGCAAAGTTTACTCATTGCAGGCTTAAAGAGTACCAAGCAAATCAATTTACAAGAAGACAAATATTAAGTCGTAAAGATGGTTCCTCAAAATATAAATTTGCAATAAGTCTTCCAGCCAGAAGAGATTGATTGATAATAAAAGTCCAAAATTAATATATCAGTAATTAGCATTCAATAATAAAAGTTATTTTTTATTTGCAGTTACGTATGGAACTAGGTAGTTTACCGCAATATTGATGCTGCTTTTGCTTGAGTTAAAAAAAAGTGAAAAGGTGCTGATTTCACATCCAGAAAAAAACCTAAATAAATTAATATGTCTTTTTAAACAGGTGTAAATCCTGTAATAAGCAAGTTGAGCCACAACTCACCCAGAGTTCGCCATGGCTTCTCGAACTGAGCCCACAGGGTGAGCTCCTGCTGACGGCGTAGCCCTTGGAGTCATAAGGAGCTTCCTGAAGTCTTCATTAGTTAATCTTTGCGAAGCTGGTGTATCTTCTACACTCCTGTGTTCATCCATTTTGTATATCACGCTGTTGCTCTGTTTTGTAAAATTTTCTAAAAGATTTCTAACATATAAATCAATATTAACATTTACAACAATAATACAATGTTCAATACTTCAAATAACAACTGTTAATATATAAATACAGTGTAAGCTATTATTTAACCAACAACAACAATTTCAGCGACACTTATAGCTATATAGATAAACAATTAAACAGGCATCCATGCTAGGCGTACACATCAGACACAGACAGGCAATGATGAACATGACACTTGATTTGACATTGACACTGACAGCAGGGTCTGATTTAGGTAGGTACTTAGGTACGATGAAAAAGATTTATTTTATATTAAAAAAATTTAATATGATAGTGTTTGTAAAAAAATAGTCCACTTATTATTTTCATTTTAACATAATCATTAATTTACTCCTTTCAATTTTATCAGTTCTTTAATATTAGTTTATCTTATAATAAAAAATATTGGCCACGTGTTGCTCGAAAAGAATAATTAAAAATGACGTTGAAGTTGACAGACTAGGGATGAGGCGTATATACTGGCACAGGTATAAATACCCAGTATGAACATACCAGTACGCACACCGGGTATGTACGGCAGAGGCCCGTTCCATACCCGATAGGTATGGCCGCCTCGTCCGACGGTGGCGGTATATACGCTCGCGACAACCCGCCGGCCGAATAGGTACGAAGTTCCCCGAACGCTTACGGCGGCTCTTCCCGATCATGCCCGAATTGAAATGTATGATTTAGGCATTTTATACCAAATAATTCCTTGAGATAAATTTATTCTTTGTTTCTATGACCATAAGTTATATAAATAATTGCGTTATAAGGTTACAGTAAACAGTAATATTTATTTTGAATTACTTTTTTTTGATAATAGGGTTCTTTACGTTAGTAAAGATGGAGCTTATTTTAGACTGATTAAATCTCAATTAAAAAAAACTGATTGCTAAAAAAAACATTTAAATGTTCCAATTCCAACCAAAGGTTCAATTCGTTTGATTCGACCGCGTCTCCAAAAGGAGGCCTGAACATAACTAATACCGATAGGTACTTTGATTTTGGGTTTTAGCACCGAGTATACGGCGATACCCGTACCTTTGAGGCCGGGTACAGAATGTTGCAGGTATATCTCATGCCTGTGACAGACCTCCGCAATAAGAGTGGACAAATGAGTTTTTTTATATCATGTTTAACAAAAAGCCTATCATTGGAAAAAATTACATCTTGCCCTTGCCCAACAATTTGCCGTTTTCAATTCTCTCCTTTTCGGTTTACGATTTACATGCATTAATATTGTTTATCTATTTAATCTTTATTGCACTAAAAATTGTACAAAGGCGAGCTTATGCTATATTGCATTCTCTACCAGCTAATATAACAAGGGCAGTAAAGTAGTTGTACACGCTACATAAACAAATAAATAATGTTATGAACACACAAAGGAACTAACGCCATCTAGCGTCAACTATTAAAACCACTGAAGAACAAAGACGACATAAAACCGCCTATTCAATACTAGATGGCGTTAGAGGAACTGCTGTGGAACTATAGTCTCGAAAACCGGGTACATTCGCGAACTTTCCGGAATCACGAACATGTTCGTGCGTGTCGGGTACGTTCCAGAAATGATCTTTCTGGATTAGTCCGGAACCGGTCTCTGCCCATATAAAAAGCCACAGGGAGGCGAGCGAGGACAGTTCAGTTTGAGCTACCTTCGAGGCGACTTCGGAGCGAAAATTAGTGATCAAGAGCGATACCAGTGAAACCTACGACTTGGCTACAAAATAGAACATTGTTAGTGCTTAGTGTTTGGACCTAGTGCTTTGTATTGGACCTAGTTCTAGTGAATAAAGTCTTCAAAAGAGTCAGCAGGTCTTTCTCTCCAAATCCTTCGAACCCCTAACACGTAACAATAATATGTAATACTTAGGTAATAAACCTAAAAACTACCACCATAAACATTCATACGTAGATGAGTATACTTATATTATATGCATACAAAGTAAATATACTTAAATATTCTATTTTTAGGGGAAGAAAAGTTCTTGAGTGGCAGCCTCATACTGGCCCTCGCAGTATAGGACCACCCCCCAATAGACGGAATGACGACCCGTGCAAATGTGTGGTAAGTAGATGGATGCCGGTGGCTCAGGATCGTACTTCGTGGCAGTCTATGGGGGAAGCCTATGTTTAGCAGTGGACTTAAACAGGCTGAAATGATGATGATGATGAATATTACTTTCATCCCTAGAGTTTAATCTTATTAACAAGGATAATAAATGAAAACACGACTAACGCTACTTGCCAATATACATACAAAAGTATAAATAAAAAAAATATAAAATATTTATATTATTAACTGTGATAGACTTCTTCTGTAGTTCCAACATATTATGTTTATTACTATTATAATATTAAGTTATCCTAAAGTAAGGCAAAGTAAAAATAATATTTCTATTATGTTGCTACTTATTTCTCCTCCTCTTCCTCTTCTTCTTCCTCATAGCAGATCCTCATCATCATCCGCATCCACATTTTTTTTTCTAAAAAAATCCTCATCCTCACGCTCCTCCTCATAACTACATCCTCAACAACACTAGTACTAACACTAGAAATCCAAGCGGATCTCTTCGATTTGCCGTTTGTAATCTCCATTTCTTAGTATTTTAGTGGATTTGGTGACGCGAATTTAATACCAAAACGTTGTCGGTTATTAAATTCGCGTCTATGAACTCTATGACATACGGTATTTTACAGTATCGGCACACTGGAGTTAGATCGGAATCCAGCGGAAGCAATGTTACGCAAATAAAGCTTATTTATTTATTTTTAAAGCATATTGCAAATGAAATATCGATTTTGCTGAGGTTATCGGAACGACCGGTCAGAAATATGGGAATTTATTTGACCCAAATTTTGACGAGTTGTTTGTAATATTTTTACATCAGACATGGCAAAATTAATAGCGTCGTTGGGTCTCGGAAAAACAGCTGACAATTCATCGAACTGCCGTGGAAAAACGAGAATTTAAACCAAATTACAAATGTGTTCAATGCTTAGTGGTACCTAACCAACCTATATACACATTTTTATGTAAAATTTCGAAGAGATTCATATGAACGCGCAAACGTCTATTTGAATAAAGAAATTTTTGATTTTAGTCTTGCATTGCAGGGACACGGCTTGTCAGCCTTTTTCCTCGTCGGGATGGAAATATTTATTTAAATTAGTAATTTAGCTAAGCATATTTCTATACGAAGAGCGTGTTGGATGACCGTTTCGCTTTTTGACCGACAACGTTCCTATTATTCTGCGGGCTGTGCGGCATGAATGTTTTCTTTCATCGAATTGCGATTTAAGAAAATCTTCTAAATGTAGCACGCATTTTCGGCACGACCTCCAAATTTACTAATAATATATTATTTTAAAAGAATATCTTGTTGGTGCAGTGGTGCTAAGGTCATCGCATTTCCGCCGTCATTTATAAACGATATTAGCTTTTTCCGATTTCCATCAAATTTAGTAATGAGATTGCAGAGTAAGTTCTATAAACTATGCACTTGTTGAAGATTCGTCTTTAGGTATTGCGACGGAGGAGACTTGTATATAAAGTAAAAAAGATAATATTCTCGGCGTCAATATATTAGAGATAAGGCGTGACACTGGTCCCAGATTGAATCAATGTAACGTGCAATATAATAATGTTAAATTCACGAACTGTGAACAGTACAGGAAGTCTATTATTCCTTATTTTCTTTGTAAAGGATATATAATTATGATAGATTGGAGTAATAGAATTATTGTACATTCTCACCTTCGCAATATAGGACCAGGGTCGGATTTAGGGGAGGGCAACCGGGGCGACAGAAAGAGGGGCCCCCACAATAGAGTTCTTGGAAAAATAATTTTAAATTCAGACTAGTAAACACTAGTAAATGACTTTTAATTTTAGATAATTCTTGTTTCATCTAAATTTCGAAAACAATATGGAAATAGACAAGAGAAATGACACAGTTGAAGGAAAAAGAAATAAAACAATTTAATAATTATTAATTTTAATACATAGACTACATCTACATAAATACAAATTAATTGAATTTTCAAACAAGTATATGAAATTACATAATCAAAATTAAGACCAAAAAGTTCAAAAAAACACAGCAATAGAGCAGTTTACACTATCCAAATATAGAATGAAAAGTTGTGCCCTTGTATCCAACATTGCCTGTGGGTTCATCTTGGAACGTAATGTACATTCTGAAAAAAAAATACGAATGTTAAAAGGTAAAATTTATTGTGAAGCAATATTATAACTATGTACTTAAATAGTTAAGTGATTTTTATACATAATAAAAGTCTGCAATTCTACTTATGATTGATATGGAGGATTTGAGATCAAAGTTCTACAAGTCAAATAAACCAAATGTTATCAATAATATACAGATGTTCTATCTGACGAAGTTCGGTTCACCCGAGTGGTAGTATACGAGGGCTGTGTAGACGACGCGTTACAATTTTAATTAATTTTAATTAAGTTTTATGTTTTATTTTATACAAACCTAATTTTATTATTCTTATATTTTTTGTTTATAGTTTAATTTGTAATTCTGTTTTGTTATTTCCTTTTTATATGGCAACTGAGAGCGGGCGCGCGAACGTTACTTTTTGAATTTGAAACAAATACGGATACTGTCTGTCATACGTTCTTCTTCTTTTTCCGTACGCGCGCTCTGCTAACGTTCACTGTGTTGGACTTCAATTGGACAGCCTGGGCGATTCTCATCAAATACGGTTGTTCTCCCCCGATTCAAATCGGTAAACCAAATGTCTGATGCTTTGATTATATACTTGTCGGGATGGTGCGATTAAATAAATAATGTAATATTTAAAATCATTATGTTCTGATCGAAAGATTATGTAATAATATTTGTGTTTTGTCTCCCATAGTTTCCCAAAAACTTCCTAGTAATAAAGTGAAAACACCGGCTAACTAGACTAACCTACGAAATAACGAATTAAAAACCGGCCAAGTGCGAGTCGGACTTGCGCACGAAGGGTTCCGTATCATTGTCTAACGGTCTGTTGTATGGGAGCCCCATTTAAGTATTTTTTTATTCTGTAAGTGATTCAAATATAGTAGTAGACATTTTTAGCGCCGTTCGGTACGGCTAATATGTCATCTAGACAAGTCTATAATCAAAGGTCTGACTGGTGTTATAGAAGGTTTACATGTAGAATACATATTTTAAACCTTCTATATTATATATATACTTTTATTTCGTCACACGTTTTCCTTTCAAAAAACAGAAATCGAATTACACACCGATGCTGTTCACTGAATCTTTTCTCATTTGACCGAAATGAGAAAAAAAAACAAAAGAATGCAGTTTTTTTTTAATTTTCCCGCCTCTTAAAAATGGCTGTAAACGATCATATACAGTCATATGTTCAACCTGTGATATCAATAAACATTAACGCCCGGTTTCCGAAACATTGATCATCGTAGATGTTAAGTAATCAGCTGTCAATGGCTTTTCAAATGTTAAGTTGCCAAAAGGAAGGATCAACTCTCTGAATTGATCAGAATGATCTTCTTAATGATCAGAATGATCAATTCAAAGAGTTTAACCATCCTTTTGGCAACTCAAATGACATTTGAAAAGCCATTTGACAGCTGATTAGTTTACATCTACGATGATCGGTGTTTCATATACCGGGCGTTAAACAACGGGTACCTATCAAACAGCCCTCGTAATAGTGACGTGTACAGAAGATATTATAAGATGCGCGTTATAGTAAACGCAGACATCGTTAGCAAAACACTGATACGGATTGTATATATTTAATCTATACTAATATTATAAATGCGAAAGTAAATCTGTCTGTCTGTTTCGTTTTCACTCCAGAACTACTCAACCCATTTAAATGAAATTTGGTACACTGATAGTCTAGAGTCTGATAAAGGATTGAAAGATATTTATTTAATGGCTTCAACGCGAGCGAAGCCGCGGGCGAAAAGCTAGTATTAAATAAATTTGCCATTAAATTAATCTTTAGAACAATTATTTTAATAATGGTCTGCTATTATACAGCGTGTCGTTACCATCGCGGCAATAAATGAACACACGTCTAACGCTACTTGCCAATAATCATAAAAAAATATTAACCTTAAACAAAGTCCATAATTAAAAAAAATATTTTTCAAACTAATTAAGTAAAAAAGAAACAAAATTTGTAACATCCTATACAACTCGGGCCACAGCGTCGCATTACAAGCCTCTCCTTCTAACAGTATGTTTTGTCTCTCTTAAATTCATTCAAGCCATTCATATGCTTTGTGACCTTTACAAATGAACTTTACATTATAGTTTTATACGTAAGGTGTTCTAAAATTCTTTGTTTTGGAAAATTTAATAACTCTGTAAATATTGATGTTTCAAGAATGTAAATGTTTAATACAATTTTAAAAAGTTATCCCCTATGTTCATTTATTGTCGCGATTGTAAAGACACGCTGTATAAAGGAAACAAAAAAAATTGGTAGTATGTAATTAAAATAATTGACCGTCACTGGAAACTTTTAATTGAGAAGGCATATCCGTTTCCGTCGATTTGTGTCTGTTTTAGTACCTGTATTGACCTTTATATCCTGTCCAGTGGCGCCACCTGGCAGTTTGCGCTTCACTTGGTTTTCCTAAAAATGCTAAGCGCAATTTTAATTCATTAGCGTTTCGTCTTCCGTCGAAGTGACTTGTGCTTACGTGAAATCTTGCTTGGGTGAAATAGCGCACTTAATACAAAATTGAAGGCAGAGTTAAAACAAATAGGTGTTAACAAATACTTACTTATGAATCGTCTGGTTCTTTTGGAATTTGAGTGCAGATAGACGTAAGTACAGTTGATTTTGGAAATAAAGTGGTGTGTACCTTTTCTTATGACCTTATTCTACCCTACAATTCAAGAGGTACTTGTTTCATGAAATATAGTTTTTATTTTAACGGTTATTGCCGTTCGAATACATTTTAAAGTTAAAATAGTGCCTCTTACAATAGTAGATTATTTTATGTTGACAGTTAGTTATTTACAATAATGGATAATCACGAGTTTAATACGGTTGGTTCACATGCTGTGGCTGGTCCAAGTGGCGTTAGTCGCAAGCGTAATCGAAACAGTTCTATAACCAGCAGTTCTTCAATGAGCAGTAGTAGTACATCGAGCACTTCTAATGATAAAGAGAGGGCACACTCTCACCGTAGTCGTCGCTTGCACAAAAAGAAAAATAAGCGCCGACGTAACAAATAGATGATGGTCAAACTGTTTGAAGAAGTGGGTGAGTTGCGCAAACACATCTTATCTAATAATTTTGATAATGCTCGCCATGACAATGCATCATGCTTTTCTGATGTTAGTTGGTAGCCATAGCGGTGCCCATGAAGTAAACTGTTGTGAAGACGTTGACTTCACCTTTGATATTGGAACTAAGTTGAAAGAGCCATTGATTTCAAAAACTCCCGATGGCTATTTAAAGTTGCTTATTGATGTACAACGCTTAGGCAGTGCATCCTGGTCAGAAGTAAGGTATCCAGATACGCAGAAGTCATATAATTTCACGCCAGGTTTCATACCTCCTCGAAACAAACGATGAGGTGAAAGTATATGACAACTTACGTCACTTAGCACATAGTGAAAAAGCGTATGGAGTCTTGACCTACGGCATTTTAAAGCAAAAGGAGGCTCTTCAGGATAGCGTACGCAACCTACTGTCTTGGGCGAGAAATACTACCAACATTAACAGCGAAAATTTAAACAGTACGGTTGAAGATCTATTTTTAAAAGGCGATCTCCAAAAGATTTCTTCTGATCTGTTGCAAATAGCATGTGGTCATCGACCTGACAGTATCGAAATGCGTCGCGACACTATTACTAGCCGGGTTCGGGACCCATTACTTAAAGCTACATTAAATAGAATTCCACCGTCGTCAAGTCATATTTTTAATCCAAAGCCGTTTACGGCAGCATTAGAAAAGGTCGGTGGCGTCGGAAAAGCCTTTTGGCCACCAAAAGCAGACGCGAGACCTTACTCTAACAACCGCCCCTCGCGGGGGCAAGGTATTCGTAATCAAACAGTTCCATTGCGTGGAACCCGATATACTTTTCATGAACCAGCCATATGCACACACACATATGGCTGTAGAAACCCACCCTCGCGGGGTGGTCACCAATGTACCAACTGGGAAGGTCGTCAAACAAACGATATGACAGCCACTCTTATGGGAAAGGATCTCATCAAAACCGTGGCTCGCGGCCCGATCGTTCAAATAATCGAGGGCGTCCTAATACTCAAAAGATTACAAGAGGCACCCAAAACAGGTACAAACAATGACTCGAGAAGCTTCCAAGCAGGTCGGCTATCGAAGTACAGCACCCGATGGCAAGAAATGGGAGCACCAGAAATAATACTCAAGTTGATTCATGGGTATCGAATCCCTTTCCTTCAAAAACCCCCTCTTGTACATCCAAAATTAATGAACGGCCCGTTTCATACTCCTGTGTCAGAACAAATGACAGGCATTATACACAAAATGAAGGTATAGGGCATTTTAAAAGTAGCTCATCCATCCCCAAGTTGTATTTCCCCTCTATTTCTAGTACCCAAGTCCGACGGATCAGTCCGTCCCATATTCAACCTCAAAGCTCTAAACAATTATGTGCTGGCCGATTCATTCCACTTGATAAACATGTATCGCATACCAGACTTCCTCCAACCCCGAGACTGGATGTGCAAAATAGACTTGTCCCAAGCATATTTCCACTTGAAAGTAGCGAAGTCAAACAGACGCTTCCTACGTTTAATATACAATCTCGAACTGCTCGAAATGACCTGCCTCCCGTTCGGGTTAAGCGCAGCTTCAAAACCTTCTCAATATTGACGAATTGGGGAGCCCAAACACTACGAGACAAGTGGCATTTCTTAATAGTACATCAAAATGTTCGCATATTACGTGAACATGTCGATCTGGCTGTTCAATTTCTACTGCATTTGGGATGGCAAAAAAATTTCGAGAAGTCCAAACTTCATCCTCAAAAAAGCCTGAATTATTTAGGAATAACGTGGAATCCATGGGACAACCGAAAATCTTTACCAACAGAAAAAACTGTTACAATAACTCAAAAGATAAGGTTAGCTCTTAGACAAAATAACTTAGTAACTCTAAAAATGGCACAAAGTCTTGTAGGACTTCTAAATTTTGCCAGCTTTGTAGTTCCAAGAGGTCGACTCAATCATCGGCAGTTATTAATATTTCTAAATTCTCTCCCATACAAAACATCAAGAGCTTACACTATACCAGAAAAGGTGATAGTCGAAATGCATTGGTGGCTTCAAAATTGTCATTTCCCAACACCTCTGCATTATCCACCCTCGGTCAACTTCCTTACGACCGATGCGTCAGATCTGGCTTGGGGGGCACAATTGAACGAAATAGCGATGGCGGGCACTTGGTCCGAAGCCGAACAAACTATGCACTGCAACCAGAAGGAAATGTTAGCTATACTACAAGTCCTTCAGAGTCAAGGTCACTTAATAAGTCACAGCTCGATTTTAATACAGTGCGACAACAAGACTGCTGTAGCCCACTTGCGGAAGGAAGGAGGCACGAAATCGCTACCCCTAATGAAATTGACACATCAGATTTTGGACCTACTAGACGAACATCAAATACATCTCAATATACACTATCTCCCAGGCATTTACGACAACCACGCCGATCATCTTTCACGTTTACGTATACTTCCAGAATGGCACCTCCTGCCAGACTGTGGCGACAGTGTTTGTGAAGTGGGGAACTCCGACGATCGATCTGTTTGCCTCTGCAACAGCGCATGTAGTATACAACTATGTCTCGCGAGATCTGAAGGCAGCCAGCCTTCCAGCAAGCCCTATTTCACGACGCATTCAGTGTTCCATGGAACTACTCGCTGGCATGGGTGTTTCCGCCACCATTTCTGGTTCCCAAAGTGCTGAGTCACCTAAACCAGTCGACAGGAGTGTTTCTATTAGTAGTGCGACGTCGTTTTGGCGCGCGGATCTCAAATCCCTAACGTTAACGGCCCCGTTTGTTTTGTAAAACTTACAGAGACATCTGATAGATACGTCGACGGGAGTACCACCTCAACAAGTCGAGAAAATTATCCTCGAGGTATGGAAATGTGGGGGTGGTCTAAAGAATTAGTAAGATGGAATCCTGAACAGCTATCGTTGCTGAAAAGTTCTTGGCGTAAGTCTACATTAAGCACTTATGAGGTGCCATGGAAACGCTGGATTACTTGGCAAATACTAATAATATCGATATAGAAAACCCCATAGGATCCCAACTGGCCCAATTTTTGTCAGACCTATATTTAATTCGTAAATTATCTTATAACACGATACTTTTACATAAATCGGTTGTTTCAACACTGTAATGCCGAAACATCAAGTCTCTTGAAAATCAATTGCTTTATAAAATCCAAAAAATTCACGTCTTCCAATCTGGAATGTTAGTGAACTAATTTCATATATTACTAATTATACTATTGATATAAATAATACGTTTCAAACTTCGCGACATACCGCAATTTTATTATTACTCCGTTCAGGAAGATGCATACACGATCTAACTTTACTTAGATCTGATCCACAGCATTGTGTGAAATCTGAGGACAGCATAGCATTTTGGCCTCAATTTAGGTCAAAAGCAGATTGTAGTAATTACGTAATTATTAGTGGTTGGAGACTCCTTCATAACCCTAATAATCTTCATTTAGATCCTATATACTGGATAAACAGAACCATTTTATTGTTTAATGAAAGACGTCGTGCTACAAAATGTTTTAATTTGTTTATAACAGTTAGGGGTACAGCTAAACCCGCCTCGCGGATGGTAATAGAAGGATGGGTAAAAACTTTATTCAAAGAAGCTGGCATTACAGCTGCTCCAGACAGTGTGAGATCTGCAGTTGCTAGTAAGAGCTGGATTGAAAATTGTTCACTAGATGAAATCCTAGCCCGAGGAAATTGGAAATTTGCTAATACATTCAAAAAATTTTATAAGCGGGAAGTAATACAATGTGATAAATCAGACAATCTTACACAATTGTTTACCCCACAAAATTAGTAATTTTGATTAATGTAAAATAACGACATTCATAGTTTACTCAATAGTATTATAATATGGTGCTATTGAAACCATAGATACTTATTAATTTCTTTATGCAAGATTCAATTTAATTTATACAATGACCTTGATTAAAAATTTGATTTTCTAATAGATATTTTATGTTACTGTCACATTATCGTTTCATTACTAATAAGGGACGCTACCAGGCGATAACAAACAGATCTCAATTAAGTTTCCAGTGACGGTCAATTATTTTAATAGCAGCGTTTTACCTGAAATAAAACGCTTATTAAAATACTTACCTCACTGGAAACTTTACCTTAATTTCTGCCTGGTGTAATTGAGCTAATGAATTAAAATTGCGCTTAGCATTTTTAGGAAAACCAAGTGAAGCGCAAACTGCTATATGGCGCCACTGGACAGGATATAAAGGTCAATACAGGTACTAAAACTGACACAAATCGACGGAAACGGATATGCTTTCTCAATGAAGTTTCCAGTGAGGTAAGTATTTTAATATGCGTTTTATTTCAGGTAAAACGCTGCTATTAATCATTTTAATTTATTTTATACTAAGCAATAGAAAAACAATAAATAAAATACCTACAATTCAGAATTTTAATTTTATGCACTATAAGATGAATATTTTGACAGTGGTAAAGCCACGCAGCAGCCTCGGCTGTTGCACGAATAGGCAGGCTCGTCCGGATAAGTACCACGACCTCACAGAAGACCGGGGTAAAGTGTATGTATGACAAATATAATCGCGTTTCGTCTGGCGAGTGAGGTAGCCGGAGCCCAATTTCCAAAAAGGTTGTCAATGCATCAGAAAACTCTCGGGTGTAGCAGATGTCTATGGGCGGCGGTATTCACTTAACATCAGGTGAACCGTCTGCTCATTTGGCAACTTTTCAGATTAAAAAAAAAAATCGTTTGGCCGTCGTAGGGATCATTTATTATTTATTTATTTATTAAACTTTGAGTCTGGTATTTCAAGTATTCTTTTTAAAATTTTCTTACAAAACTACAAATTCGTTCACACTACTAACATGACCCAAGCTTCCTTGACCAGGTTTTCCATGTTTGTCATTTTTTGATGCCCTTTATTTTTTTACAATGCTCTGAATATTTTCAATTGTATTTGATTCTGGGAGGAAGAGAATTATGTAATTCGCTTTCTACCATCAATTTTGTACCTAATTCACGTGTTCTTTTTAATAAATCTTACAATTCCCCTTTTCTCAGAGCCACTGAGCATATCTACTTTTTTGTAATTAACATTGTAACCTTTTCAGCCCATAAGTAACTGAACTGAACTGGAACTGATAACTGCATTGTCTAATGGCCATTTTCAATCCCTCGTTTCAGTAACTAAAGATACACACAAATGAATCCTTTTGCCCTTACTTTCTTTTCAATTATCTATCGACCGTTATAATTTTTTAACAAAGTTAATTATCTGTTATCGGGAGGACGGATAGCGTTCCATAGATAGGAATGTTCATACAACCCATATTTATTTGTGTTTCAATAAAAGCTTCAAGTTACTCTAATAAGAATCTCACTATATGGTGATATACTTTAAACCTTGGTTGTTCTTGATGTTCAAACTACGAATGCTAAAACATTTATGTTATAAAAATTTTGGAATCCATATTACATAAAAGAGATTTATAATATATTGGAATGTTAATTTTATTTCAATCTCGGTTTTTGATGAATAATTTTTGTAATGGTACTACTCAAGGCACAAAGTATTGTATACTCTAAATGTTATAGATTTTTGAAGACACAAGCTGGTCTAGGAAAAATATATGTATGTGATTTAAGTCCTTTAGGTATCCAAAATAATGTATACTCGACAAAATAAAAACATTTGTCAACTTTAAAAATATTTTGGCACAAATTGAATAATGTACACCTGCACAAAGTAATGGCAGATTCATTTCAATGCGGACGTTTTTCACCCAAAATCTGGTGAAATCTTGTTTCTCTATTGTTTGACAATAATTGGGAATAAAAATATACATTGATATTATATACACACAATTACCATTTACCTTGTTTGACAGTGAAACCAAAAGAAAACTAAAGTTATTAACTAAATACCTGTCTTGTGGTACACCCAATTCTTTTTCAACTAGTTCAAACAAAACTTGAGCATGCTTCTTGTTCTGTTCAACGCCAAGGGCCCCGATTGACATGAGGTTGGCAATGGCACAAGGCTCAGTAGTACCACTAAAGCTCATTATCACATCAGGTATAACGGACACCACACAATACTACAACATATAAAACCAACAATGTCTTTTGTGAACTACAATTCAAACCAAATATTATCCTTTTATAATAATAGATAATCACATAATTAAAATTTGAGAATAAACTAAAAACAGAAAAAGTTAAAACAAATATAATCATAAACAGAGTGACTAACCTGTGCAGGTTTTCCAAGAGATTTTGCGAGGAGTGGAACTGCTTTTGTTACAAAATCCTGTGGAATTTTATTCTTGGGCACATTTGTTTCAATTCTAAAATGTGGCATATTTTTTTTTAATATTAACTTTTAGTATATCTCGTCCTGTCTAGACCTATTTCTCAGTAGAAGAGTCAAGAGATCCACACGATCAAAAGTACTCGGCACCCAAGAGACAGACCAAAGAGTACTTTTATATATCTGAGACAGACCGGAATAAGACATACATATATATTGACAGTGACAGACGAGAGAGCTAGTTAAAATATAATAGTAATCTCATTATAACTTACTGTAACGAAAACTTTAATAACAGTTATTGCTAAATTTAGCATTTACTAAATTCTAATTGCTCAACCACTACACAAGTTGTTTAACGTAAACATACTATTAGAAGCTTACAGCTTTTCTCAAATTTTAATTCGAGACAGAGTCCATACATAGATATTCAAAAATTTTATACTTGGCATGCATTTCTTTTTTTGGACAACAAAGCCTAAAAAGAAAATATCGATATATCGATATTTATATAGATATTTAGATGGTATCAGGTCGTCAGGTCTCGCAAAATTTAATAGTCCCACTAGGCTCTGGATTTCTTTCAGAGTGGCAATAATGAGTTTTATGATTATGAACTGTAACGTATGAACGTAAACGAGAGCAGTTGTTTTTTCTTCTGGTAGATACTTGCAATGGGTCCCAAATTAGGCCTAAGTGAGGCGTTGTTATGGAGCCCGAACAGACTTCTCGTTGTTTGATAGGAATCCTAGAATTTATAAGATTTTTAACTACAATGTTTGAAATAGCATCCCAATATGTTCGGTGAACACTTTCGGATTTTGGTGTCCAAGGAGGAAGTCGTTCAGATAAACAATGCTCCAAGCACATGCGCCTCCCAAATTGTAAAACAAAAACTTTCGGTGCCGAGCTTAAACCGGAGCTGGAGGTAGGTCTGTGCGACCTGGCTACTGAAAGATTGAACTAGGCTTGTGACAAGTCCGCCTTAACAAAAACGGTCCGTTATCATATACTGGTACAATAAAATCTGGTTGAAAACAGGACGAAAGGTCTTGTCACTTTTCGGTACTAAAAATAGGGGCGAAACGAAGTTTGAGCAGAGAACTACTGAATTTAGAGCGGCTTGCCATTTTATTTGGTGAACGACTGCAAACATGTTTAGTGAGTCTACTGTGCGACGAAAATAGCTTTTTAAATTTGGTATTATCAATGGTGGTTTTATTCGGAATGGCATTCGAAGGAATTTTTAAACCCATGATGTACAGAGCGTCTGAAACCCTCAGGTACCCTATGCTCCCGCGCCTGGTGACAGGAGAGGATGTGCTAGAGAGATAGCGATATAAAGTAGAAGAAGAGGTAAGATAAAACGGAAACAGGAAATGCCTATATGTTTAATATGACGACGACTCTATTCAGTAAAAAAAAATCTGTTACGGACAGGTGATACCTTCACCATGCAGTGCGTAACAAGAATTTTCTAAACAACACATGCCCCGATGACGCTATCGAACACTTCTCAAATTCCGAAAGAATTTAAAATGCAAAATATCTTTATATATAAAAATGAATCGCTAAATGTGTTGCTAAGCGCAAATCTCGAGAACAGCTGAACCGATTTTGCTATTTCTTTTTTTATAATACTCTGCGGTACGGTTCTTACGGAGAGAAGAAATTTAAAAAATTGCCTGAAAAAGTCTAAAAACCACAATTTCTATGTTCCCGTACAAAAGATTCGTAATAATACTTAAAAGTCAATTTGAACTTTAATGCCGTACCATAAAGTTTAAGCGTTAGTGGAGGAGTTCCGGGAAGGCAAGACGAGTGACTGTGGTAAAATGTCACTTGAAATGTAAATGTCTCTTTGCTGTGCATCACTACATAGTATAAAACAAAGTCGTCTGTCGGTGTCTGTCTGTCCCTATGTATGCTTAGGTCTTTAAAACTACGCAACGGATCTTGATGTGGTTTTTTTTACTAGATAGAGTGATTTAAGAGGAAGGTTCATACAGTGAGAATTTTTGGGAGTGTATTATTTACACAGGAGGTTCAGACTCAGTGGTATAATCGTTTATTGAAATAAAAAACAAACTTTTTAAAAAAAAATGCCATTCTGTGCCCTAAAAATAGAACTTGTTGACAATGCGGTAGCCATTCATAAATACCTACATTTTACTGTGCACGAACTTGTGTGCATGTTAGTTATGAATGATCGCGCGTAAAATAAATGAGTTGCTTATAATTCACGCACTTTTTGAGATAAGTTGAAATATGTAATTAATTACTTACGAGTGATTTTCAATGTTTAACATTTTTTATATAATCTTGTATCTTGTATCTTGTATTAACTGATGTTTTTGCTTTCAGTCCCGAGACTATTAAAGCTTCATCGGACGCAGAACCGGTGGGCTAGCCAGAACCCACGGGTTTGGACCCTCCGCTATGGGTAGGGTCGCGCATGTGCTCATGCGTACGTTTAATTATGGTGTGTCATCTAAGGGCCGTCGAGGTCGCGGTTCGGACCGAGACCCCGACGGCCGTCGACTGTGCATTTAGCTAATCGGTGGCTGGGAGCGGTGAAAACCGCCCCGGAACGCGGGTGTACCTTGTGTACGCGTTGTGTGGGTCTCGCCGTGCTCGGAGGCGAGGGCGAACTGGTGTGATTGTTGTTACACTAACTGTGGGTGTAGTGTTATCCGGCGGGACCCCCGGCGGTGGGTCCATCGTATCTAAGTCCTCTTCGTCGACCGGGTCGATGAGGACGTTTCGCGGGCGACGCTTGTTTACGTTCGCGTTAGTGTCCGGTTGGTAGTTTGCTGCGCTTACCACCAGAGGGTTGGGATGATGCTGGACTCTATCGAAGAACCGTTTTGTCAAATCTTTAAAATGTGCGCGAATCGTCGGGAGTCTGCAATCGCTGTGCAGGTCGACGTTGTGCTGATACCACTGCGCACCGGTTGCGCGGCGGATAAACTTATTTTGTACTATTTGCAACTTGTACAAACGAGTAGGGTGCGTGTGGGCGAAGATCATACATGCGTAGGACATAATAGGTCGTACGCAGATCTTATATAATAATAATTTGTGCCTTAAGGGCATTTTACTTTTAGCGTTAGTTAAATTGTGTAGCCGGCCGGAGACGAACGCGGCTCTATTAGAACGTTATTAATGTGCGTAGTAAATGACATACGCGAGTCGAAAGTGACTCCTAAGTATTTGACCTTTTTCTCCCAGGGGAGCGGTTGGCCATAAAGGGATATTTGCCCCAACTTTCTGCATTGGCGAGGGCCATTATAAAGATGTGACGGGTAGGTACTTCGTGTGAAGTGAATCGCCACACTCTTTTCGGGATTTATTTCTATTCTCCATTTGCGGAACCAATCGCCGAGGCGGTCGGCGGCGCTTTGGAGTCGAGTGGTTAGTATTCTAAGGTTGCGGTCTGAATATAAAGAGCGCGGTGTCATCCGCGAAAAGCGCGAGATTGACGTGGGGGTCTTTGGGTATATCGCTCGTGTAGAGCGTAAAGAGCAAAGGTGAGAGGCAGGAGCCTTGTGGTACGCCGGCCGTGAGGCGGCGGCTTGTGGAGAGGGTGCCCTCAACTCGATATCGAAAAGAGCGATTCAACAAAAAGGCCCGGATGGTGTGTACGAGCCTATCTGGCACTTTGAGTGTGTACAGCTTGTAAAGCATAATAGCTAGAGGGCTGATTAGCTGGTTTATTCGGCTTGCGAATGCCGATAACCGTGGCTTGCTTCCAGTCGTCCGGAAAGGAGCAACTGGAGAGAAGGGTATTGAAAATGGTCGCCAGTAAACAGATAAGCGGCCCAGGGAGAGCTTTGAGAATTTTATTACTTTTATTATCTGGGCCCGGGGCGGATTTTAGTTTTAAATTTTTAATAATATCTTGGACCTCTTCGGGGGTCACTGAATTTAAAGGTTCGCCTTCCGGTGGAAGCGCAGCCCTAGTCTCAATTAGAGGTAGAGATTCGCGGGGGTCTGCTTTCAGACTGCGGGCCAACCGCCAGTAGGCGGTGTGCGATGGCTCGATGTTCTCTAGGAGAGTGTCCCACGTTGTGTGTCGGTGTTCCGATACACGATCTTTGACTTCTAGCTGAAGGCGTCGAAGTAGGGTTCGGTTCGATTCCGATCGATCGGTATCGGTCGAAGGCGCGTTTGGCTGCATTTTTCTGACGAAGCCAGTCCACTACTGATTTGGTCGGAGGGACCGCGCCGGCGTTCTGGCCCAGTTTACACAGGACGTGCCTGTGGTCTGAGTCTAGTTCATGGATTGTCTCTATCGACTCGATGTCGAGCGAGACCTCCCTGAATAACATGATGTCTAGGACACTCGGTGACGCGTGTTGGTAGTTGTCCACCGTAGGATACCTAGTGGGAGTTGCGGGAGCGACTATGCTAAAGTTTAGGTTATCGGATAAGCTAAAGAGATGCTTTCCGTTGTTATTTGGGATGCTGTCGGTGTCCCATGAGCCGTGTTTGCAGTTTAGATCTCCTGCAATTCAAGTAAGGTTTTATTCCCCGAGAGGTAGGCTGAGACTAGTACAAGTGGCCTGTGGCCGGTGAGCGCTAACCTACACGCGGATGCCTCTATTTGACTTAGCTCTGGAATGTCGAGCGGGCAACAGTGCAAGGACCGTTTATAATAAATTAATGTGCCTCCCAGACGGTTTGCTAACCGGTCGTGGCGGACAATATTGTAATTTGCGATTCTGGGAGACATTCTTGAAACCTAGTGTACACGATACACTAGGTTTCAAGAATGTCTCTTGCACTAGGAAAATATCTACGTTGTAGTCGCGAAGGAATTCCGCGATTTCGTCCCTTTGACCCTTTATGCCGTTTGCGTTGAAATACGAAACAACCAGAGCCCGAGGTTTTTGTTCTACCTGCGGTTGTACTTCCCATTAAGGTGTTTTTATGGGTCTAATTAACGACGCGGCGGAGCGCGGTTTTATTGCGCGGACTATTGTCTTTTACGGTTGGCTCGTAAAAGCCCAAAGGGCTTCCACAAGCGTTTTATGTTGGCTAATTGCCCTAAGACGCTCGTTGCCAGATGTGGCGTCCGCTATTTTAGCGGACAATACGGCGAGTTCCTGCCTATTGATCCTATCTAATAGGCTGCAGATGTTTGCGATTTGCGCGAATGGGTCGTCCTTGTTTTCCGCGAAAACTGACGGAGTTGGCTGCACCTGCGGCCGCGGCGCCGTTTGAGAGGCGGGCAGCTGTTGTGCGATCGGTCGTGAGGCGACCGGGATTACCGGCGTGGTTACCTGCGCGGCCACCTTGGGTTTCGCCCAGGCGT